AAACAAAAAATATGAATCCGCAGGTGGGTATATCTTTTGTGGACTAGAGCGGAAAAAAATCCGGAGATGTTGTGTTCGATCCGCATTTCAGCCGAAAAATGTATTATTGGACATGTATTTCAGCAGAACCATATTTAAGCCGACAGTATTTTAACAGATAAATATTTCGGCCAACATAGTATRTRGATAAAATTAYTTCAGTATCAATATTCAAGACGACATTATTTCAGCCGACACCTAAAATACATTTCAGTCAAAATACTTTCGGCTAAAATACATTTGAACAAAATATTTGCGGTGGATGATTTAATATTTTCGGCTACATTATTTTCGACTGAAATATTTTCGGATCAAAACTGTTAACCCAGAAATATTATTCGGTCTAAATATTAGTCATCGACTCATCGTCTAAAACACTGTCAGCGACATTATTTTCGGTCTTTTTATAGCTTTTGACGAAGCAATAATAATTAGGCGGATAGGTAAATTTTTTTCTTTGAATAAATTAATGATRGAAACAATTTTTAGATAATTGATCTATATTAATGTCACCATTAATAAAATTAAAATCCAAATCACATGGTATTCMGTATTTATACGTCATTTGATGACGACAATGCGACTTAATTTCTCAACATTTGGCCATAATCATGGAAATAAATTAACAATGAAGGAATTTTTATATTTAATTATTTATTTAAAAAATATAAATGGCTTTTGAACCTCGCCATCACCTGCCTTTCTCCCACCAGACGTCAATACACTCCATGTATACGTTAGCATAAATTATATTTAAAAAGCATAACATAATAAATTTTCAATGAATTATAATCGAAGAATTTCAAATTTTATACCGTTATTAAATCGATGTTTATTAATAATTTAATACCTATACCAAAATGTTTAGCCTGTTTAGCTAGAAATAATATAATATTATTATGTACCTATATATTATTTGGGAGGAGTGGTCTTTTATATATGAATGTGGCACTTAAAAATMTATTGCCGTCACCTCAGATCTGATTATTTTTGATGGCCTAATTGAAATTGAGTCATTTTTTTGCGTTTACAATTTTCTCGTAAAATTTGGTGTTTAATTTTGACCCCGTTGSACAAAAATAACGTACGTAATCGGGTTAAATAAAAAGGTCGAAAAAGGTACCGCCGATAAACAGCGTATTCCTCTCTATTATACAGTCAACTTGTTGACTCGAGGTTAATCAAAATTGTAATCGTTGGCTATAATGATAGCTATGCCATAGACTAGGTATAGACATGGGCTTAAATTAATTTTTATTTAAAGACTTTAATAGCCTTTTATCAAAAATGTATGACCAACAAGCATTTTTTGTTGTTTTAGTGTGAATAAATGTTTTTAACCGTGTACACAATGAACGCATTTAGGTACCTACCCCAAAATGTAAATATTGTTACTTATAAATATTTTATTATAACTAACATTGACATTTAACGACCGTCCAATTAAGTTCACCTATCTACCAGCTTAAAGCGCACTTACAGGATTATAAAATTCTTTCTAATATTTCTTCAAAATTTAAATGCATTTATTTGATAATATTAACTCAGTGACGGATCCAGGGGGTGGCGATCGGGGCGATCCCCTCCCCYGTTCTCTAAAAAACTTCATATCCATATAAAATTTATTGTGTTTATTAATTATTAATTTTTGGAAACAGCCTCTATATTTACGTCTATGGAATACTACTGACCCCCCCTCGTTATTTTTGGCAGCGTGACAGGTGTTTTCAATGATTACAATATTTTTCATTCTTGTTGCATATACGTATAGGAGATACCTATGTCTACCTTATAAAAAATAACGCACTAAGATTTATTTTAACCATATGACTAAAATATAAATTACATGCCACAGGACTACAGGATACTAGCCTAAGTAGAAATTAATTCTAAGCAAACGGTATAAAAGACGGGCGGAAAAATTGTTCATTAAATAAATGTGTAATCGTTTGGTCTTTTTATTTACCTACTCGTTTGCATACTCTTAAATATGTGTGACCGACGTTCGTAAATAAATCAAAAAAAAAAGTTGTTAATTTTGTGATTTGAATATTTTTAGAAAAAACTATTAGGTATAACAGGACGCTGAACCCGCATTTATAAACCGTCATTGTTTTGTGTTGCGCATTACAATAAACTCACGTTCAAACAATGTCCTTCAAATTTGACTTAGACGAAAAATTCAAGGCGACGGCCGACGAGTACCTAACAACGTTCGTGATGACTTTGGCTGTCAAGATAATACTATTTTAATGTGAGTATATTATCATTGTTTAACATTTTACTTAGGTATCTAACTATTTAAAAACGGCAAATCTCTTCAAGAGAAGTGTTGAGGAAGAATACCTCGAAGGACGATTGCGGTTATAGTCATTAGAAAATATTGTCTCTGTACCTAACAGTTGTTTTACCTACCTTTTAAATAAAATTCGAAAGACACGGTAAGACGCATTTCACCAAATTTCAGTGAAATCGAYCTGTTTAATGTAAAGCACTTATGCGCGTACTTAAACAAAGGTGGCAATAAAAAAAGTAAATGTATAACACGAATAATTACGATACATATCAAATAATGATTTATCGACGCTGCAGCGATGACAATATTATTAAAAATACACTGTCCAGTAAAATTATATYGATATTTTGAATTAAAAATAATTATTATTTGGTCACTCTTTTTTTACAATGTATTTATGGAAAATTTTATATTTTCAAAAAAAAATACAAAAATGTAATGTTATATCAAGTATTTTGAAATTATGACTTTCCTCCTATCACCACCATGTCGGTAGTATATGTACATCCAGTTGACCAGTTATGTTAAATCATGTAATACCTAAAATGTAGGAACCTAAAATAAAAGCAATAAAATATACTTCTGAGATTTAAAAAAGAAAATATTTAAATCAAATGAACAGAAATTATAGATAATTCTATAGTGCATAATCATAAAATCATTAGCCATAAAAAATTGTTATTCTCTTATCTTTAAGCTCGTACAAATCAATTATTACAGTGCTTAACCTAATGAATGACATGAAACGTTTAGRAGTTTGAATTTAATAGGCACTAAAAAAATTGAAGGGAACTGAGAAGATAGTAGATACTACTAATTATTATCATAATTGATGTAATGATTGGAATAGAATGTAAATACAAGTTTAACTCTAAAATGGTCAGAAGCAAGTAGTTAGGTACGAAAGCAATATAATATACAATATAGGTACTGGYTGTGGGCTTGTGGCTAAAAAATAATTCAATTGTCGTCGATTGAGATTAACTGCATGCAAATGTAATTTATAAAAACTTTAATCAAATAAACTTTAAAAATTTTTTTAAAAACTAGTTCATTAAATAATGCATAACATGACCTCCTGTTTTTTTTTGGTAATATTTATTCATGATGTTTGCGTAGGTCAACTAAGGCTAAGTAAACATAGCATAATAAGTAATAACTCTTAATCATAGGTACACTTATTACTTTGCTAGTAAAATGTGTCTTACTAGTTTGTTTTGATGGATGTTATATTTTAAACATATAATTCATAGTAATCCTAGTATAAATACATATGGTTTTGTTTTAACAGAAAATAAAAAGTAATTCAACACTTTATCAACCAATAATAAATTAAACCTAAGTACTAAAGTACCTACCTATTTAAAGTATTTGACAAATACATGTCAATGAATTTATTTTTCTGGATATATTTTTAGATAAATAAAGTTTATCTGGATGGATTAATTATCCTATATGTTGAGCTGTAATAGTTATACTGAAAGCTAATAATAATTTTAAAAAATATATACATATATTTAATAATTAAATTCMTTTCTAGGTATAAAACTCTACCAAATGTTGTTTTGAGAATATTATATTCTTTATTCATTAAATAATCTGATCAGAGATCAGGAATTAGTATCTAAGAAGCTAAAGATGATTTTAAAATAAATTTCCAAGGTCCAGAAAACTTTTTTAGTTTAGAAGTTCTTCTACAATKAAAAATAATGAAAAATGTCAGCATTTAAGTAAAGTATTCCTTAAGTTAGTTTTATGTTGGTCCATTTATTTCCCATTTGTGGTCCTAATCAGACCACTTATAGTCAATACCTGATTTAAGTTTAAACTGAGGAGATACTTCATATTTGTATATACATGTATAATAAATATGACATACAGTGACTTGTGATAAAATAAAATAAATAAGCTTATCAGGCTTTAATTTAAAATTTCAAAGTCAACAAAATGATTTTAAATYATCATTTTATCTACATAACCACATATAATATGTTTAAATAAAATTATTCTTTACTGCTAGATTACTACAATACCTCTGTACAACGTTTTCTAACAATCATTATTCATTACACTTCATACTTAAAAAATAAAAATGTATCTTAAATTAATATTACTTCAATTATATTCCGTTTCAATATTTTTGAAAATAAATTATTTATATTACCAAGTATTTACCAATATAACTTAAAACATTTATGTATAWATGTTATAATTAAGTAACTTTCTAATGAACTTTGTTAAAATTCTGTTTTATTTCAAATAAAAAAAAATTATGCTCAATTTACTTAATGTATCTACGATGGATACTAATTATTATTCACTGTAACTAAATTAATTAATTAAATTTATGAAGTGCTGTGTTCATCGTCTATTTTGTAATGTTATAAGATCTTATAACATGAATTCATGCACATGTTTCATTTTTTGTACAATGTAATCATCCATTAATTGCTGGTATAAMATTTTCTTGATGTTAAAAATACTTACTTTGTATTTGAATTTATCAAAACTTATAAACCTATTTAATAATACAGTGTTGTAGTATATATCAGTTTCTTTMTTACCTACTGATAATAATTAAATAAATAAAAACTATAATATGAAAAATATACTTTGTTATTAAAGTAAAATATTTGTATTTAAATWTGAAATGTCTAAATAGGAAATTGATTTTARTATTGGATTATTAAGTAGAAAAATGATTCAGATGATACAATTATTTACATTCAAATTTTTAAAAATTGGTTTATTTATTTTTTGAAGACATTCTTTTCTTTTTATTAATTCTACCTTTATTTTTTCCTTTAAAATTTGATTTACCACTACCACCAAATGTACTTTCTGTAGTGTTTTCTTTCATGCCTCTTTTTTTACCACCAAATCCATATTTTGTATCTTTTCCTTTTCTTTTATGTTGTGATCTATAGGAAAAATATAAATAAAAAGTTAATATATTTTTGATACATATTATTATAATACATTAGGACTTAGACTATTAATTTTAATACTAAAAACATATCTTCTAGTAGAAAATAATATATAATTCTTTATAATAATAGATTTTAGTCGTACCATTATGCATTCATATAACATTAGTATAGAAAATTATATTTTACTTTTCACTTCTATATTAAAAACAAACTACTTTATATCAATGCATTGTTCTTTTAGCTAATATATTATACCTTACATAATATAAAAAATGCATTAAAAGTTGGATCTAAGCTAACATTATTTAATATTAAATAATAATYGAAAATTGAAAAATACCTTGTTAGATTTTTTTTCTTTTCACCGCCACCATCATCTTTTTTCTTATTTTTCTTTCCACTGTCAGTTTCCAAAAAGTCTAAATCATTTCTTAAACCTTTTCTAAACTTCTTAATATTTTCATTAAGATCACGTTTTTGTTTATGTTTTGCTTGTATAGCTGCTACTTGTTTCTCTTTAGCTAATTTCTTTTCTTGTCGGATACGACGCACTTTTTCCGTTTGTTCTAGAGCAGTCTTTCTTTGTAAGAGGGCATGTCGTACTTTTTGCATATGCTCATCAGATTTAAACATTTCTGCAAAATAATCTTCTGGTCGATGTGTAGCTATATTATGTTTACGTAACAATTCTATGCCACGCATAACAGCTGTTTGGGCTTGACGGTGAAACAAGGTTTCTCGTTTAAAATCATTTAATGCTACTTCATCAATTTTACCAGCTTTAAGAAATTGTTGTTGTTCAGTAATCTGAAATAATCAGAAAATATTATGATATAGATAATGAAAAAAGTAATTTAAAAATAATATATTTTTATTGGAGTACATTATATTGGAATAATACAATAACATTAATTTAATTAATACATAATTTAACAAATATAATTTAATTTAAACATTGTATTAAAAATATGCATGCAAAAAGAAAGCAAACATGATTTAAGGTTTTTMAAAAATTATATCACTGACTAAAATATAGTACAACAGACAACAGTGTAAACCCAGTAGTAGGGCTATAATAGGAGCCAAAATATCAATAAAAAATGAATAATCATTTTTATTACTTCAATGCTAACTATTGCAATCACATTAAAAATTAATATTTGTAAGAATAGAAATCATGTAAAATACCTAAATTCATACCATAATTAAAGACTTTAATAGATAACTTGGTACTATATACTATTGATAATGATATGAGAACTGTCGGTGTGTGAATAGATGTGGAAAATAGAGAAAAGGGGAGATCCATAACAAAGGTGGTCACCCCAAATAACAATTGCAATAGTAAATAATATTTTTTTCAAAATTTAAAATAAAAACAAATCATCTTATATCTGGATCAAAACTATAGAGTTAACAGATGGCAGACATATCTAAGCTTGTTATAGACACATATAAATGGTTATGTGTTACTTGAGCATGGTGAATTACGCATGCTTAGTATAGGTACTAGTGATATTTGCTGGTACAAGAAATTTTTCARTTATTTGTTCTTATTGTAATTTTRTTACAGTACATAGTTGGTAAAAAATAATAATAATAAGTAGTAATACAAACCAAGTCTAATCAGTTATTTTAAAAATGTTTTTGAAATTTAAAAGATATTTAGGTATAAAGAATATAACAATTAAATACATACTTCCATTGAAAGCTCAGGAGCCATTGGAGCAACTTCAGCCACAATATCAAGTCGTTCACTCCATGGTAAACTACTTTGAAATAAAGTAATAGATTCTTTCATTGCATTCTAAAATAAAAATAAACAATGTGTAAATGTGTAATTTGATCAGATATTGAATTTATAAGTACAAATTAAGTATACAATGATTTCTTTGTATTTTTCTTATGCAGGTGGGACATAGGTATTACCTTATCCTAGCCTTCAGAATATTCCAATAAAACACAATTCTTTTACTTAATTAGTTTTTCTTTGATAATATCTGTCCACTTGCATTTTTTTCTGTTAACCTTTATGTTAGTTTTATAACTTTAATTTATATTTTACTTCTTTCACTCGACAAAACGAGACAATGACAGCCTATAATTTTTCTATACCACACTAACTATTAGCTTAACTTCCAAAATAGGTAATAATACTTATTAAATATATCAAAAACATCATGTATACTATATGTATTTATAAATACATAAATAATAATTATATTACTTACAACATTGTTGATGAATACTTTATCTTCTTCTACAGGTATATTCAAACCTGGCTTTAATTTACCAGATGCATACAATTCCAACAACTAAAAAAAAATTGCATATTTAAAATAATATAATATGAGYTAGTATAGTAAAAACTAACACAAAWGCAATGATTTACATTAATMAAGCACTTAACAATTAATATAAAATATTTAAAAATTGATTCCATATCATTAAGAAATTTGAATGACACTCATTTTATACTTGTAATATAATTCATTTCATAAGCATGGGTTCATCTGTGATATTGAGTTATGGTCGTTAAACCTTAAAATGTCATATTATTCTTTAATGTTTCCATCTAAATATATTGTTGTTTTACTGTCTAACCCTAGTACCTAGGTTATGAAAGTTTAATTCTTTTAAATGCAGATCTCAAATCTGTATGTTGAATTCACAATACACATTATATTGTAATATACGATGGCATTTAAAAAAATTATAATTTTACCTAGCTATATTTCATTTTATAACTTACTTCTTCCTCAGAATCGACATCCGAAGACATAATGATAGGCATTACAAGGCAGTCACTAAAGCACAAGAACACTAACAACTAACAAGTAACAATTTATTATTATTTATTATTAAACAAGTTCAAGACGATCAAGTATCAAACATGTGCTTCGTATTTTAAATCTTTAATCTTTATCATTAATCAATCTCTAGATAGCTCTTATCAATAACCAACGTGATTATATCAGGTGATGGACATGGATTTTTGAGTTATGTAAAAGTAATACCAACTTAACCGTTTTAMTAATTGCTGTCAAGACACAGCATAACGACAAAATAAATACACAGTGAAACCTCTAAATTCCGGGCACATTAGGTGGCCGTGATTTTGTCCATTATTTAGAGGTGTCCGTTATTCAAAGAAGGGGGTAAATTTTCGACAATAACTCGGAGAAATTAATAACTACACATAATGCGCAATATTGATTATTTATATAATGTTCATAATTAATAATATTATTTCAATGCAAATATTAATTATACATATTATTATTTAAAATTATAATATTATGTGTGTAAAAATTAGTGAAAATATAAATAAAAATAGTTATATAAAAAAAAATAACATTTATTGAATAAATCAGTTACCTAAGCTTGTTTAAGACCTACTTAATGCATAGTAATTACGTGTAAGGTGTAACAAGGCATTTTATAATTATTCTAACTGCGCGTCGGATACGCAGATTCGTCAGTGGATATCGACAAATAAGATAAACTATAATATAGATAGATAGATATTTATTGAGGTATTCCATTATTACTCTACATTTAGCATACAAATTGTCAAAATCAAAAGTAAAATGCCGTATAAGTGTCAGGTATTTAAGGGTTTTCCTGAATTTTTCCGGTTTCCGTTCCGAAAAATGATCACTATTGGCACTATTTAGAGGTGTCTGTTAAGGGAGGTTTCACTTTACAATAACCACGAATTAAGATATAGGTACCTGAGGTATATCTAAATTCATGTCAATAACATAATATAGTATTTAATTTATACATATATATATATATATATATATATTGTATATATTTGTGGTTCTTATATCTAAATAAACAATAATTATCATTAATTTGTTATTTTTTACTAGGAGCGCTTTTACGCYTAGTCAAGGGTRTACTATACTGGTTGGACGACTTGGACTTCTTAKGGATGGAGGAGTAGTGGTGTCAAAACCCTTTGAGRACTGTTTTTCTTCTACTATCCCTTAACCATGTCGATACCAGTCCACTCAGTCCTGCAGTTACCAGAGTCCAGTATATYATCTTTGTTCGTGATATATTCATAGACATTAAAGAATGGATAGGCCATGGCTATATCAAYAAAATAGAGGGAAGTGTGCTGGAATGTGGAAGAGAGAAAGACTGRTTTTTAATATTTTTATCATTGCCTCTCATTCTGGCAGAGGTCTTATCATCAATTATGTACAATAATTATATAATTATAAATTTGTATAAGACCTCTATACAGAGGTTAAAGTGGGAAAAAATTCYAGAGGGGACTAATGTTTYCAAAAAGTTTTAAACGTTCCATATATAATTTTATGTACAATATGTCTAATGTATTAAATCCTAATTTGTTAAAGGGGACGCTTTTTAACCGCCGTCAGAGGTAAGGGGACTGAGTCCTCCTGCGTCCCCCCCACTTTAACCCCTGCATCTATATTTTCATGTTCGTTCTCGTATGATAAGCATAAATGGCCCTATCCATTCTTTAATATCTATGGATATACTACGCAATTTTCAAAGATGATAACCTTTGGAAACTCGTATTCGCAGAAAATCTATAATTCCATTTCCACGGTTGAGTTGTTGGAGCCAGAAATACGCATTTAACAAATATCTTCGTAAAAAATCCGAGTTACAACGGTTTCCGAATAATGGTGGTAAGAGAGACGACTAACAAGCGATACCATGAAAAAATTGAACGCGTACTATGTAAAAGTATTTGACATTTTATTCCATTTTATTTATATAACTTATCTAAAAATATTTATAAGAATTGATGTGCACATAACCAATTAAATTTTTTTCAGCGAATTACTTTGAACGTCGGCATTGTACTTTATTTTTACCGTCGCTCGGTTATTAATATATTATATTCGGGATATTCCGATTATCAGCTGATGACGTTCGTCGATCAATATCAATACATTTTGGCCATCTTTAGTAAATGTAAAAGGCAAAGGCTACTTAGAGCAATTCAAATAATTCAATACACGGCTAAGCTTACGCAACTTACCTTTCGACCCCGAACAGAAGGAGAACATCACAATATGTGGCCTGGTGGGCGAACTAAAAAAGAATAAAAGCAACGCTAATATACGGGTGTCGGGCACGTGTGTGTCGACAGAAATAATTTGTATT